ATGGAAAGCCCTCCCATGCTCATAGATTGGGAGGATTAATACTGTCAAAAATGGCCATCCTACCAAAAGCAATTTGTAAAATTCAGTGCAATATCTATCAAAATTCCAACACGATTCTTCACACAATTTGGAAAAAAATATCTCAAATTTCATATGGAAGCACAAAAAATCCAGGATAGCCAAAATAGCCCTAAAGAGTAAAAGAACCGCTGAAGGATCTGATCTCAGATTCCTGGTCTCAAATTTATTACATATAATTAAAAAAAATAGCATGGCACTGGCATAGAAACAGACACATTGATCAGTGGAATAGAATTGAGGGCCCAGATTTAATTCCACGCATTTCCAGCTAGCTGACTTTTGAGAAGAAGCCACAAATACACACTGGTGAAATGACAACATGTTCAACAAATGGTGTTGGTCAGATGTCAGATTGGACAGCTGCATGTAGAAGAATGAATTTAGATCCTTACTTCTCACCATGCACAAAACTCAACTCCAAATGGGTCAAGGACCCAATACTCTGAATCAAACAGAGGTGAATGTAAGGCATACATTGGAACTTATAAGTACAGGAATGGACTTTCTGAACAGGACTCCTATAGTGCAGTCATGACAGCCAACAATTGACAAATTGACCACATGATACTAAAAAGCTTCCATACATCAAAGGACACCATCATCCAAGTGAAGAGACACCCTTCAGAATGGGGGAAAAATCTGTACCACCTGTACCTCTGACAGAGGGTTAGTATTTAGAATACATAAAGAACTGACAAAACTAAACATCAAAAAAACAAACAACCTAGTTGAAAAGTTGGGCAAGGAGCCAAGTAGCGAGTTCTCTATACATGAAACACACTTGCCTGAGAAACACTCTTTTAAATGTTCAACATCTTTAGTCATCAGGGAAATGCAGATTAAAATTTTTTGAGATTTCATCTTACCCCAGTCAGAATGGCTAAGATCAAACAAACAAACAAAACAACAAATGCTGCAGAGGATGTGCAGAAAGAGGAACTCATATCTACCACTGGTGGGAGTGCAAACTCGTGCAGCCACTATGGAAATCAGTGTGGTGATGCATCAGAAAGCTCAAATTTGGTCTACTATCTGACCCAGTCATACCACTCCTAGGTATATGCCCAAAAGGCTCTGTACCATACTACAGAAATATCTGATCATCCATATTTGTTGCTGCTCTTTTAATAATAGACAGAAACTGGAAACAACCTAGATGCTCATTAACCAATGAATGGATAATGAAGGTGTGGTACATATATACAATGAATTATTACTCAAATCTTTAAAAAAATTATGAAATTTACAAATAAATGGATGGAACTGGAAAACAATCATCCTGAGTGAGGTAACCTAGACCCAGAAAAACAAATGTCACATATTCTCTCTCATAGCGGAATGCTAGCTTTGAAATCTTAGATATGTATGTTTCTATTTAAAAATCCAGTGAGTCTGGGAAGCTAATAAGTGGTCATGGTGGGGTGAGGGGGTGGAGGCTTCCTTGGAGATGAGGGAAGATGTAGTGATATAAAGGAGAAAGGTGACTAATACAGTAGGAAAGATTAAAAGGGATGCGGAACGGGAGGGCAGGACAGAGAAGGGAGCATGGGGAGGGATAAGTAGCACTAAGGGCCTTTAGAAGAAGCCATCTGGAAACCTACCATTATAGAAGATTCTTAAAGAATATATACATACATTATAAAAAGAGATTAAAGGTATTACTTTGTGACCGGGAGACATTTCCCCTACTAGATACCATAGGTTTGCAAAGTAAAAACCCAATGCCAGGTATGGATTCTATCCTTTGAAGCTGTTGACCAGGAGTCCCATAGACCTTCAAACAATACTGGCCATTGCCCCCGCTCTTGGTTACCCACCAGAACTTCATAATAAGACCTTATTGCTGAAGACACTACATACATGAGCTGTAGAACAAACAAGGAGAAATCAAGCTGGTGCTGACTTCAAAGTCTCATCTTCACCGTCTAGCTTTTATAGCTCTAGAAGGTGCTATGCATGCTACCTGAAGAGAAAATTAATCATCAACCTGAGCTATAAATCCTGCAAGCTACAACAACAACTGGCCTGGCAATATATGCCCACTGGTGCAAGAGTGACACAAATATTATAAAGCAACTAACAACTTTCTAATTGGATTTAAGGCATGCCTCATAACATGGAGTCTATTGCTGACATTGTTATCAAGCCTAGGAACCTAAGGCTAGACAGGTCATGAGTCATAGGAGAGTCTAATTCTATTATTCTGCTAAATAAATACAGTATTAACCTGACTCGTAATGACTTATTGTTATACCCATAGATTAATGCATCTCTCAACTCTCAGCATAGAAGTTTCATCATGCAGCAGACACAAGATCACAAAGAGCCAAGATGCAAATAAGAGGCCAAAAAGTGCTTTTCCAGGAACAGGACACCTATAGCAAACTCCTGCCTCCCGAGGCCCAGGGATCACTGCAGAAAATTTGTTAAGAGCCAAGGGTGGCAGATGACCACAAGTCAGTGTTCTAGACAGCTTGTCAGTTACTGATATGAACTCACAGCATGCAGAAGTCCCATGTACACTAAAGGCAGACACAATTCCAGACGTGGAAGAAGGTGAGAAACCTCAATCTTACTTGAGGAGTATTAGCAACTGCTGGTGTTAATCAGGCTCCAGTAGATGAACCCACACTGGAGAGCATTTGGGGGACACAAATTTGACTCGATAGGCCTATAGATATGAGTACATGAAATTGGGTAGGAGGTAGTAAAGGGGGGTGTAGACAGGGCAGGAATGTCAGTACAATCAAAATACATTGCATGAAATCTGCAAAAATTCAAGAAAAATATTTATAAAAAGGATTTCCTGCTGGGCATGGTAGCGCACGCCTGTAGTACCAGCACTTGGGAGGTAGAGGCAGGCAGATCTCTGTGAGTACAAGGCCAGCCTGGTCTACATAGTGAGTTCTAGGACTGCTCAGGCTACAGGGAGACCCTGTCTCAAAAGACCAAAAAAAAACAAAAAACAAAAAAAAAAAACCAAACCAAACCAAACCAAACCAAAACAAAACAAAACAAAAACAGGATTTCTTTTTGGGAAAGATTACTTGCAATTTAACATTTTCTTAATATTAAAATCATAGTTTACTTTTTATGGAGAAAATCGTAACACTTAAAAATTTTAAATGACATCACCAATTTAAAAATGTCATTACCAGTGCACAGAAATCCCTCTCCCATTGCTCTGATCTCAAAGGAAAGCCTGATACTTTTGTCAGGTTTGCTTCCTCTTGAAAAATATTAAAGGCATCCTGAGGTAACTACGGTGGTAATTTTTTCTCAGGAAGCACTAAGGGTAGATTCACTGTTCTCCTAGAAAACCTTGTAGACCCAAGTCACTTCTCTAGGAGATGCACTAAGAATTAAATGTGCTTTTGAAGATTACTTACAATTTACTTCTTTAAAGCATTTTTGGTTGGGGGGACAGGATCTCTCACTATAAAACACACTGGTCTAGAACTTTCTATGTTGCCCAGGCTAGCCTTAAACTTTTCAAATCCCTCCTGCCTCAGCCTCGTGGGTGCTGATATAGGCATGAACCATCACAATTGGCTTTGTTACTTATTAAACTGAGAATAGATACATTTTACTAATAAGCATCCAAGGTCTATACTTAGATGAAAATATGCATGAAAAAGAATTTAAAGGGTAAGAGACACATCCAAGTCTTCAAGCTGATATTTGGTGATAATTTTCTAAGAAAATTAAGTTAAATAAAGGATGTTAGAATGAATAGACTTACTAGCTTACTACTTAAGAAGTTCTTGCGGAGCACTGACACAAGTCTGAAGTTAAATTTTGTACAGAAATGTGAGAATGATACCTTGGATATTTCATGTATTTGAGGCAAAAGATGAGCAGATTGAGTATTTATTTTGTGAGTTGAGAATGAAGGCAAAGACTTAAAATTTACCTAAACTTTGACGTGGTTAGTTCTGAACTTTTTGGACTATTCCTCCTGTATATTCTGAGTTTTATAAACAGATAAATGAACCCAAGTAATGAGAATTTCTCACTGACAGCTTTCTCTACAGATCCACTACCAGCAAAAGTGACTGTGGAAGTGTCATGCTGGGTATGACACAGCTGTGGCCATCTTGAAGCCAGCAGCTATTGCTATCCACCTCACATGATCCTTACAAGATCTGGCCTGTTGACCTTCCCTCACAGAAGTGAGAGTGGAGAATGTACTTAAGACCCTCATGTGAGATTCCAGCCATTTCACCTGCCCCCACCAGCTGCACATGCTCCTGTCCTGGCTGCCTGTGCTCTCAGAAGGTGCTAGACTACACTGGAAGTGGTACAGCTTTCAGGAGGCTATCATCCATGCTGGGGTAGGAATTTTTGGTGATGCAGATGATTGGGGGTCACCCACACCATATGAGGAACCCACGTTCCTGTAAGTGAGCTCAGCAGTTCACCAAGCTGGATTTGTATGCAATGACTACTTTGGTCTGTAATTAGTGCTCTATCTGGGGTGAACAGTTGTTTGTTCATGTCCCCTCAGGAAAAGTAATGTGATAATAACTACTGAAATCTCAATAATCAAAAACATATTTATTTAACACATGGGTTGAAAGTTGTGCTACACACACACTCTGGCACAAAGGCTTAAATCTCTTGTTCATAAAATATTAAATGTAACAAAACAACCAGAAGGAATAGAATACACTTCCTTTTTAGATAGAATCAATTCATCTTTTGAACGTGTTTCTAGAACGGCATATAGCATCTAAGATGCATGCTTCATAACAATGTCAAAATTAGTGATCAAAAAGTTCCAATCAAATTTTTTAAAACTTAATTTTGGCCTATAACCATGTATTCATTTGGTCTATAACCATGAATTCCAAACTGCCAACACAAAAACACAAGAGCTGACATGGTACTCAATACTCACTGAATTAAAAAGTACTTACACTATGGGCTTTTCCAGGCGACTTCCCTGCGAACCAACAATCTCCCCCAATGTACAAAACACTTGTCCCAGAAAGTCCTAAAATAGATAAAAGGATTAAAGCTCATAAGTTCCCATACTATCTTTACAGTACATATATTGTACATCACTTTTGCATTTTTACATTGCTGAAATACACAATTTCTAACTCCAAAAGAAAATAAGCCCAGTATGCATTCATTTTAGCATATCGCTTTCCTTTAAGTTTGCATGGTACTTTATATTTTACTTATAGAACCAGCTCATTATTTTGAGTTTTCGGACACCACAATGTCACAAGTAAATAAAATAACAGATCTATCACCATCGGGACATCTAGATTGAAAAACAGGTTTCCAAGAAGAATTGCCCACGCCTCAGTGTGGCTGGACAAGTTTCAAACATCTGTCCTGGCTAAGGACTCTGATGGGAGGAATGCTCCCTCAATTACTCATGCATTGAAGGGGCCCAAGAGAAGCTTTATGAGAGACGGACAGAAGACTAACATCAAATGGAATATTGTAATTTGTATTAAAATCAGAGTCGGCTAATCTGCTTATTCAATGTGCAAGGTATTATACTTTGTTCACTGGAGTTTGAGAAAAATGACTTCTCAACTAAAAAAAAAAAAAAAGTCAACTCATGCTTAGGAACCCATGATGTGGCCCCACTTTACCAAGACAGGAACTGAGGCATAAGGTAAGTAACTTGCTCAGAAGCACAAGGAGAACCCGGGAGGCTAAACCCAAGGCTCACTCACTGACATTTCAATCCAAGTCCACCGGGAGCAACAGGGCACAGACACACACTATCCCAGAAATCCACAAAAATCAAAACTCTGTTACTCAGTGGAGGAAAACAGGTGAACAGTACTGAGTCCAAAGGGTGAAAAGCCTTCTGCACCCCAGGAAGTACATCTTGAGAGTCAAGTGGCATCATATTGCAGAACTAAAAATTGGGCTTTTTAGTGCTAGAGAACAGATCAAATAAGACAGAAGTGAGAAAAGAAAACGGCAAAGAGAAAGCAGGACATGAGAGCCGAGACCTTGGAGACTCTCTGGGCTGAACAAAAAAGTTTCCTTAGGACCCATGGAAGCAACCAAACATCCTCGTGTGGTGCAGGGACACCCACCATCATGTACAGCATCCTGACAGTGACTCCAGTACCTGCTGACAGCACTGACACAGGAAAGAGGAAAACCCTCGGGGCAGCAGTCAGAAGACTACACTAGTTGGTGAGAAACAACCGGCACGACCCAAACGAGGCTGCAGCCAACAGGAGGCGGCCGTGCACGAATGTAGAGGCAGGATCCGGAGGGACTGTTCTAGCGTGTGGCTGGGCTGGAGGCAGTGGCGAGCCGGTCACTCTGAATTACAACAGATTGGCTTCACTCCCACAAAACTGCAACTTCCTTTGAATTTGTTTCCAAGTGTTCAAAAACAATTGAAAGCTCCGACATATTTAAATTGGATATCATTAGTAGCACATTTTTTACCAACGTCATTATGCATATATTTATACTGTATATATTACATATATATTTAAAGTATGATTCATGGGAGTTAAGTAAACCTAACGCTTTCTATACTTCATGACAGCTAGATACAGCTGAATCCTAAACATTCAGAAAAAGCACTGCTTTGTTGGGTAGATGCAAAGAAATCTATATGGGGCACTCTAAATTGTTTTCAAAGAATATTTATATTAACAATTGCTACATAAACAACATGCTGAAGGGATTTGGCCAATGGAGGAAATGGCCTCAGAAAAAGTTGTATGCTATTGCAGAGAACAGAACAGGAACATGCAGCATGCAAAGACCGGGCTCCTCACTATCAAGCAAGCTCATGAGTGCTGTCACTTCTAAACAGAAAAAATTAAGAACTGAACCAATAAAACGCACACCAAAAGTCACACCAAGAATCTATGAAAGTTACATCTCTCGTTTCTGCTCGTTCACGCTCCACATATTTACGGCATTCATGGAGTTGTTTTACATTTCTGTATGTACACTTTGTTTCAAGTAATGTACTACTCACAAAGCAGAAGTCAGCACATCAATATAGATCACTCATTGGGTGAGAAACTTCTAGTCAGTTTTTCGCTGTCTTAATGGGTCACACAGTCTATGTATTTTAAGAACTAGTAATATAATTAGTGTCCTTCAATGGGTATTTTTAGGTATTTTTATCTGTGGTTAGAGATGGAAATAAAAGCAAACTATACCATGAACTATTTAACTGTTTCTCTCTGGCACTGGGTCCCGGCTGCAGGACCATTACAATTAGGCTGTGATGATGTTTCCACTAATAAATCCAATCCCCTTTCCACAGCTCTAACCCCTACAGACCAAAGCTAGCTTGGGGAATCTCGAGAAGTTGAGAAACATTTTAATATATGCAACCATTATGGCTTCTGGACTCAAAATGGCCATGAGGTCAATAAATATTTGCTAAATGCAAAAAAAAATAAATAAATTACATTATGGTCTAAAGAAATAGGTTCATAAAGCTTAACTTGAACTCTTTCAATGTACATAAACTGTCTACTATACCTAGCATTCATTGGAACTCTTAAAATGTATTGAACTATTAATTTCCCTCAACTCAATATGCTGTTGATAAAGATGAAAGATTAACAGAGAGAAACACAAGGGACAAAGATCAGGAAAAGAGCAGTCATTTCACAGGCCTCAGGGGCAGCAACTGGGATGGGCTGGGGCGGAGCTCAGAGTACTACCACTATCTGCATCTAGATTTTTACAACTAAATGACTTGAAATTGCAGGAACCAAGATCCAGTTGATTATACACAAACACATTTGTTTCTCTCTTCTTTCCTATTAATACTTTGGAGAATATCTATACATAGCATACCATGATTATTCCTTCATATGTATTGCTGTAATTATTCCTTAAGTACCAATATTTATTGAACAATTCTGCCACCTAAATTTTATTTTATATTGTAGCTTGCTGCTTGTCTATATTTATGAAAATTACATTTTTTAATAGTTCTACAAACAAGAAGTGCAGCTCTGGGGCCAGTGAGATGGCTCAGTGGGTAAGGTTGCTTGCCGTCAAGACAGAAAACCTGAGTTTGATCCCTGGACACGCAGGGTGATAGGAGAGAACCGACTCCTGAAAGCTGTCCTCTGACCTCCACATGCACACTGTGGCATGTGTGTACACACACACATACCAACACATACATGCATGAACATAAAATAAATAAATAAAAATGTAAAAACAATTTTAAATAAAGCTCATTTTGAAGTACAAGAACTCATTTGGTTTTCAGCTTTTATTCTAGGTACAAATAAATTAACATATATAATAATGGTCCCTATACATAATTTGAGTATCTTACACATACATCTATACATATATTTACTTAGTTTGTAGTGGCTAACATACTTACTTTGAATAACAAGAAGTGCTATGCTGTCTGTATTCATATACAGACCGAACCATGTACCAGTGTCTCTAGACCTCAATATTCCAATCTACAAAACAGACATAATAATACTTATCTCTGGATTCTTAAAAAGATTAAGACGATACATGCTGGTAATATATGTAAAGCACTTGGAACAGACGTCTGGAACCCAATCGCCTCAGCCCCTGGGGTAAAACAACACTGTCTAACCACAGTGAAGAGCTGGTACAGCTGTTAAAGGCTCAGGCTCAAGATGTACTACTTTGCTTCGAGAATCCAATTCTTGGGATACTAGAACTATCTAAATAAAATAGCTTTACTCCCAATTCCACGCTGTGGTCACAATCCACATTTTTAAATGAAATTTTATTGAAAATGCTATTATGACATGCAAATGTGTCTTATGCACCAGCCACCAGACATACTGACCAGTGTACACACAGCGTACACAGACATAAATATGGAAAAGATGGCATTGTGAGAATGGTGGTAAGATGAAGCAAGAAGCATGAACTGGAAGAGAAGTTCCTGATTTTTGGACTACTGTTAAACAAGTACATAATGTCTCATTAACCTAATGATGAGCAATTTCATAAGTATTTAATAGCATGGCATCTTTCTCCCAAAAGTTCTAGTAAAGATAATTTTGAATTTGCATTTTATCAATGATCAGTGAACAGCTGAATATATGATTTCCTTAATGTATAGGTAATTTAAATTAAAAGGTTAAATTAGATTATTGGTAGCTCATCTTAATTCAGCTCAGTAATTGGGTACAGTCAAGTGAATTATTAGATTCCTTCCCTGAGTCATGGCTGCTTCTGTTCCTTCTGTTCATTTGGGGGGTCATTTAACTAACTTGGAGCATGTCTATAACACCAAGGTCATCAGAGCAAGTGAAAATATGGAATAAGTGTCTTGCAATATTTTAATGTTGTGAAGACATGAAGAAATGGAACCTCCAATGAAAGTTGTATTATGAGTATTACTTGCTAATAGTTCGCTGTTGGGACTCCTTGTTAACCCTTCAGAATTTTTCCACTTATTTAAATTATGGGAATCACATCAGCTGTGAAGGCTGTGCTGGTTCAATCCTGCACTACACTCAACCTGGCAACTGCTTTTCATAAACAAGGTACCTCATTGCTTCAGTAGAAATTCCTGATTTTTAAAAAAATATCTCATTTATTATTTTTATTTTACATGTATGAGTGTATTGCCCGCATGTATGTGAGTGCACCCGTGTTGTGCAATGCCGTGGAAATCAGAAGAAAGGCTTCAGATTCCCCTAGAACTGGAGTTAAGGATGGTTTGTAGCTGCCATGTGGGTGCTGGGAATCGAACCTGGGTCCTCTGCAAGAGCAGTCAGTGCTCTTAACCACTGAGCCATCGCTCCAGCCCCAATTCCTGATTTTTTTAATGGTTATTAGCATACCCATATTATTTGTGGATCAGATAAACTCAACATGAAACAAATGGATCTAATATTTTAGTAGAAATAATTGATTACTTTAATATAACAAAACAGCCTTTCTTCAAATTAACAACAGCACCTTTAACAGGCAGATCAAATGACCAAACTGGATACACACAAAGTTGGTTCTTATAAACCAAAGATATAA